AAGAAATAAAAACCAATAAACTCATCTCGTTCATTGACTTTTACATTTTTGTTATTTCCAAATCGATTAAGATACGCATTGAGAGATCGATATTCGCATTTATTGAGGAGATGAAAAAAACCATTTAAAGATTTATTGCTCCGAACATCCGTACAATCGGAAGGTTAAAAGAAGAATGTAGCATTTTAAAGCAATGAAATGGCATTGGAAAGGATCATAATCGCAAAAATTATATTGACATGAATGTGAGTACAACAAAAACATTTTTTTTTTTCGGAAGATTGCATCAGATAGACCTATTAACCTAAAGAAGTGAATTAACAAAAATGAAAAAAATTCATACGACAATGAATAATAAACTTTTTCTTTTTTGATGTAAACAAGTCGTTAGTATAATTTTTTATTATTCAACATTTATACCTCACGAATGGGAAACAGAAAGAGAAGAAAGAGAGAAAAAAAAGCTGTGAATTTTATTTTTCTCGACTGTGTTTTCAATGTCAAGTTCAACTGTGAAATGAAATGATCGTTTTTATCGATGCTTGCTGTTGATGGAGTTGCGCTTCATTGAGGAGATTTTATTTTTTCCTTAATAAATGTTCATGATTTTATTAAATACTTTCAAATACGTAATTTCATACTCGAGCTAATTATATTATAACACTCAACAGCACTTTTTAACAACCATAAAAAATTACTTTAATATAAATAACTGTGATTTAATTTCATGCAGGACAATTCATTCTACTTTCTTTCTTTTCTTTCTTTTGTTTGAATCCATAAAGATGTTAGCATGTTTGAGTGTCATTTTATGCATTTACAAATTTTTATTGTGTATTCAAGTGGCAATGCAAACTTTTTTATAATATGCAGGAATTTGAACATTTAAATTCCACAGCAATCTAATAATTTAACCCTCAAATTGCTTTTTAATTCTAATTTTCCCACACGTTCAGATTGATTCTATTTGATTATTTTGTTATGGATTAATTTGCATACAATTTAAACAATAACTTTTTCCTCTTTAACCGATAATTTTATAATTAACCTTCAATTAATATTCACATGATGCAGAATTAAAAAAACAGCACTTCCATGTAAAATGGAAGATGATCGTCGATGAAACTCGATAAAAGTTTTCGATTACTAGGAAATAGCTTGTTTCTATTACGCCGCAATATTCTTGATATGACGGAAGATCAGACTTGAATTTCAATCATTTGATTCTACGCTCAAAAAATCAAGAAACTCGGGTTTTATTTTTACAATTTTTGAGGAGTTTCTCATTGATTAATTATATGACATGGTTCACTTAGCTTCTTGCTATTCTTGCCATTCTCTTTTCCAGTTCCATCATTGATGAATCATACATACCACAAAGATGTCTTAGACTAAACGAATGTTTAATAATAAGAATCAAGTTTTTATTCATTTGAATCACAATAGCTTTATTGCATTGGCTTGAGCTTCCATAAAAAAAATCGCAAAGCTATGTTAAGTTTTTGGCTTTCTTTCTTTTCCGTCTTTCTTAACTGATTGTTTGAGGAATATTATGCATTTTGTACAATACTTGCTATAACTTGAGATATGCCTGGTAATTTAACCCTAGTAACCAAAATGTTCCATATAATTTCCTTCGATGTCGATGGAAGATCAAATGTATCATTATTTATTATATGTAAAATATTTGTTTTACAAACATGTAACAAAAGTGTTCCATCGAAGTATTACCCGAGCCCGCTTAAGTTTGAATCTTACGAAAAATCATGAAAGAAAGAATTTTGTGCGTCATAAATAATGTTTGTTCTAAATTTGGCATTTGCCATATACTTCACAAGTGCTCGCAGAAATCACTATTATAAGTTCTCTCTAAATTTGTATGGGGCTTTCAATTAATTATTTATCTTCCTCAGGTTTGTGGGCGAGTCTTGGGCGTTCATCAGTATGCGACTTAATTAAATTAAGTCCTTTTTGTTCTTTTTCGTAGTGTTAGTGTACTTTAATTAAGTACACACTAATACTTTTACAATAATTTACACAAATAAAAGAAAAATACAAAATAACACGTGGAATTTACCACGTGTTTTATCCAAAAAAAAGTAATCCATTTGTTTTCCATTTGTATTACATTGATGTCTTATTGCATTGTCCATTTATCTTCCATTTTCATAGGACATCATCTTCCAATGGATAATACATATGTATCATCCATGGAAGATTCTCATGCAATACATTGATCTACCTTTTGGTTGCTAGGGAAATAAAGTGAAAATCATTAGAATTTACCAAAATTATCTTGTTAATGTCTCCTTTGTAAATTCTTAAACAAAAATGACTCTCATCAATAAAAACTTGAAAAACTTACGAACATCCATTTGCTAAAATTTTATAAAATTAATGTGTTAAAATCCAAAAACTTTCCAACTTGATATCAATAAAAAATTGCATACCACAAACTGGGAGTCTAACAAAAAAAAACCCATTGTAGATACCCGTCTAGAATTTATAAGCACAGAATTAATTATTATGCAAAAAAAGTAAACGAATGTGGTTCACGGCTTGTATGTATGCTCTCATTGCATAAATTTGAAGTTTTTTTTATAGCTTATATTTATCTTATCATGATAGCGCAATGTGTTGCTGCTGTGCCTTCTGTTCTTCTTTTCTTTATTAAACACACTCAATGATAAGGAAATTTGGAGTATTATAAAGCTTTCATTCTCCTCATTTAGTCTACTTCTTGTAAAAGTATGCAATAATGTAATTAACACGTTTCTTGAGTAAATTAATTAGCAAATACAAACATCGTGAAGAATGATAATTGATTCGTCTTTAAATTAAAAGACAGTTTACTTGAGTCAGTACATAGTGGAGTGTTGTCGAAACAGCAAGAACGAGGATTTTAAATTTGTGAACATTTCAAAGTTTCATTTAAATAATTAAAAAATGAAAATTGAACAGAAATTAAAAATTCTTACAGGTAGTGCAGTTATAAAGCTCTATAAAGAATAGTTGATTAAATATTCATAAACCTGTTCTTCCATATTAACACAATGTAGACATAATTTGTAAATTTATAGATATAAAAACCTTTATATCGGAAGCTCCTTGATGTTTCAAAAACGTTCATCATAAAGTTGTTTCTTTACTTTTTTCTGGTTTTTCTAAGGCACGCAAAGGAGTTCTTCGTTTGTGGACTGTTCACAAATTCACTCACGAACTTATATTATACAATGTCACATATAGCTTTAGACCTCCTATACATAATTGTGTCACGTAACAATTGAATATCCCTATTGTGTGTAAATATTGCGAACTCTAGAAAATATTTATAGATCCATAATGCTACCCTAGTCAACATTATACGTATTAATTTAACAACAAAGCAAAAGAAAAAGTTTTTTTTTTCTACACATTTTTCTAGTTTAATACTGAGGAAAAGCAACAGCCATAAAAAATAAACAAATATTTTTAAAAAAAACCTATTAAGCGTATAACATCTTTTATGACATTCTAAAAAGAATATGGCATGCAGTTTCATTCGTATACATATTCATTAGCGTAGTGAAATAGAAAAGGCAAGCAAATTCACCAAACACGAAAGTGTTGATGCAATTTTTCATCAATTTTCCAATCCTATTTGGCGCGATGTGGTGAAAATACAAACGTGTTGTGTGACTAGGTCACGAGACAATTTTATTCATTCTTAGAATGAAAAAAAAAACAAATGGATAAACAATGAAACTTTTGTGTAATAGATAAGGGGCCGTTCACTTATTACGTTCGCACTTTAGGGGGGAGGGGGGGTGGGGGGGTTGAAAAATTGTAACCAAATGTAACATAGGGGGGGGGGGGAGTGTCAAGAAGTATGTAACGTTCTAATTGTCGTCTGTCTTTTAAAAAAAGTTCACGAAAAAAATTTGTTTACAAATTCACACCAAAAACATTTTTTTTAAATTTTCCACCTTTTTTAATAATTTATGAATGTCCAGATCACTTTTGATAGCTAAGCAATACATAGTTTTTGTTATATAAAGTAACAAATCAATAGAAAACTGGTTTACAAGACTTTAAAATACAATCATAATTTGTGTAAATTTTCAAAATTAAATCAATCATAAGTTTAAAAGTATGATTGATTTTAATTTTTGATTTTCTTCAATTTTCTTCATTTTTGATGTTTAAGAAAAAAAATACAAAAGAACTTTAACCGTCTTTTTAGAATAAAAAATTATCAAAATAAAATAAATTATGAACGTTTAGTGGGGGGGGGGGGTTATGAGTTGTAACATATTGTAACAAGGGGGGGGGGGGGGTGAACAAAGTCGTTTTTTTGCGTAACGTAATAAGTGAACGGCCCCTAAGATCACTATGGAAATTCTTTGTGCGAATTTTTTATATTCAATGAAATGTTTATGATAATGATGCCTTAAAAATCAATATCACGACAACATCGTGAATTTTTATTTAAATACATTTATTTCCCGAATAAGGAAGGAAAAATCAATGCATTAGGCAGCAAAACAAAATATTGTTTTATTCTTCACACCATGCTTAGTATGCTTTCAGCCATATTGACGTGAAAAGTGCTTGCGAATAAGTATATTAGAAAGTACACAAAAAATTAATCCTTAATTAAAAGAGTATCAAGCATAGTAATTTCTGATTTTAAATAATATAAATATTCAGTAAATGGACGGTGGCAGTTACTCATTAGAAAGGAAAGATTCGACAAGTTCGAAAGGTTAATCATTGTTCGTAAAAATGGTGATTGAAGAAACGAGAGGTGTTAATTTTACTGAAGAAAGTATGTTAATTTGTAACGGATGTTTTTATTTTGAATTTCTTATCTCAGTACGCACCAAAAACTTTAAATTAAATTAAAAGTCGGTTATTTTTTTTGGTCCTTTTTAAAAGTAAACAAATGAGAATTAAATAAATTCGCTTAATAAAGTGGTTACTTATAGTTTATTCTGTGCCTTTAATTTGCAAGTCATCGTTTAATATATTTACTCTTCGAGTATCGTGTGAATTAGCGTATTTAAAGTGTTAATTGATAATAAAATTCAGTTCTGTAATATTTAACAAAGATTACGTGATAATTAAATAGTTCTACAATAATCAGCTTGTCGAGCAACATATTTATTGATTGAAATCTAAAATCAATTCAATTCAATCCAAATAGCATCACTGTCTAATAAAGCATAGACTATAAATAAACAAAAAGAAAAAATAGTCGGCAAATTTCGTTTCAATATTGAGTTGCATAATTTCGACATTATTTTATTGCCAATGGCACGAGTTCGACGTCGTTCGCGTAAAAAAGGTCTGCTAGATTACATTACATGCTTCAGTTATCGTTAAATAGAGTGATAAAAACTCAATTTCTACTTCGTCTTCTGTAACTTTTTATGATCAGAACTTACTACTACGACTAATCATGACTGCCATATTATTATAATCCTGACATTAAACTTCAAATAGTCATTAAATAATTTGTTGCTTTTTGTTTTTTTTTGTCTATTCTTTCTTATCAGGAGTTAAGGAAATCGTTGGTGTTCAAGACATTACAGACAACAGAAATATATGGCGTATGCTTGTGGCAGAATTCCTTGGAACACTCTTACTAGTCTCAATCGGTATTGCAAGCACAACTGGATGGGAAAAGGATTATGAGCCATCCATACCACAAATTGCATTATGCTTTGGATTAGTCGTTGCCACTTTAGCCCAGGTAAGTCAATATATGTCTTTACTACTACTCTTTACGAATTTCAACAATAAAGCGGACAAACGTTGACGGTACTTGTCAAGTATTTAACATAACATGATAAAATACGCTGATTCATGCTATCTATGATAAGAGAAAAAAAAGTAGTGTCAGTAAAATGGTAAACTTCCGTCCATAAACTAATGGAATTTTCTATGCCACAGTCAGTCACGCGATCAGCGTCACTTTAAATTTCTGTGCTGAATGTTATGCATTTAATGTATTCATTTCGCCTTTCTATGTATGTATGTATAAAGGGAAGGGCATCTTAAGACAATGTAGCTTATTATCTCCAAAAAAAATTTATTGCTTAGACACAATTAAGATTAGACTGTTGAACTTGAAATAAATGCCAATCGTTTTGCATTGCCTGAAAAGGCTATCTCTCATTAATTTGATTTAATCACACTGAGACAATGGACAAATATGATAATTTGGTTTGTCAAGTCATTTATAACGGCCAAAAATTTAGATATAGGAACAAAAATTGGTAATGACCGTGAAAATGCAGTAGCTTTTTAATGAATAAAAAAATGTCATTTAAATTTTATTCATCTGTCATACCTTGAGTAGTCATGAACGTCATAATATTTCATCCGCGTGCAAATATCATCACTGTTAAGCGAAATAAATTACCATGCACTTCCTACAAAATATAAATTTAACATTTTTTCAAGACATCAGGTCAAGTTGTTTCTTTTTATTATTAACAAGCTAGCTCACTACAACACGGAAATTACAGTTTAATTTTTTAGCACTTTTTCATGAAAGAGTTCAATATGCTCAATTTGCTTTGTGATGAATTCGTTTATTGGCAAACTATTAAGTCGTCCCTTTCTCACATAAATCAAGAAATGATGTTTGCCTATTCAATATTTTATGTACAATTGACAGCAGAATGAATTGTTCATGTGAATGATAGTGCGAATTCAAACTACGCCTTCAGTCAATCCATCTTGCTCAAAAATTTGTTCCATTTTTTCGAGAAAATCTGTCATTAAAGGCATTGCCGAATAAACTCTCTGGTCGATCATAAATGATCTCTTTTTAAAGTTGTAATTTTAAACGCTGTCTCTCCTGACCAAGTTCAAGTACCCCGCCTTTTACATCTTAAAAATCATAGTGGATGTCATTTATGAACAACCCCAAAAAGATATCAAAAATTAATGCTTTGAAATAATCTCTCACGTTCTAGTCCGTCCAACAAAAGAGCACTCAGTTGAGAAGGAAATTGCACTAGAAACCGCGAGTGAAAAAAAGTATAAAATTGATTTATGCCTGCCATGGTTAAAATACAGTACATCTATGCACTTTTCGTGTCCTGAATTACAGCAAAACCGACATGCTGTTGAATTAAGCTTAATCCACATATCGAAAATATTACAACTGCAAGCCATAAGTTTCTAAGTTGCAGCTTATAGTTTGTAGAAGTGGAATTGATATTAATTTTCGATACACACTCATTTGTAATACTTGAACTATGTACCTGTGATGCTATGTGTGATGATTCAAGAAGTAATATATCAATATAATTTATAGCCAAACTATTTTTTGCCGCTATTTCATGTCTTCTTTTAAAAATTGAGGTTGGTCTTTACACCGGAATTCCCAGGAATTTTTAAAAACACGAGAACCGGCAAAACGTTTTTATTTCTTATGAAAAAACTAGAATTGGCAAGCTTTTCAGTCATGTGCTTCTTTTTTATTTAGGAAGCCGAACAGTAGCTTATCGTAACTTTAAGTTTGATTGATAACAGACAAAAATTTTTTTTTATATTACAACAAATAATCGATTTTTCGGGAATGAACGACAAATTAAGCATAATTTGATGTCGTAAAGACTTTGTGAATGTTGAAATATCGCAAAAATCACTTTTTAATTTGAACAATTGTCAAATTGACATTTTTTCTTACGCAAATCATCGACCATTAGATTGCGAATTGTCGGTGTCGCCCCAAAATTATGTAGTCTAATTTTTATTAGACCTATGCCAATTGCAATTGCGTCTGATTGCATTTTAACGACTCTTTTGTGTATTTTGTTGTAGATTTTAATGCATAATATGCACGGTTTCTGACAGTAAGACTATAAAATTCATGCATATTATATCTGTCGTTACAGTCATTTGTTGATTTGTGAATATTATTACAGCAATTCACAATTAGAAGCATAAATTTACTCGAACATGCATTTGATATTCAGATATCATGAGCGACATTAGCTTACTCTCTATTTTATTCGCATTTCCACCTCATTTTTATTATTTCCATTTTGTTGACTTTTTTTTTCATTCGACAAACAATTTGATTGTACTTTATACTTCTACTGACACATATTCTCCATTTATTTGTGTTATTCCGATTCTATGTTGTCTAGTAAATTGGGTGCGTGATGAACAAGTCAGATTTATTGCACTACAAATTACTCTTTACGTCTAGTCTGAAGTAGCTTTGAAAATTTTTCATTCCTCTCACTTGCTCTTCACATTCTATGTCTCAAAAATTATTATGTCAAAACATCATCAAAGTAATTGATTGTGTTTATGTCAGGGGAGTGTCAGTTCGAACTAACGAAAGAAATCTTAATGGATCTGTTTTGCTATAGTTTTTATTAAAATTAAATTGACAATCGTCATGTAAAGGTAGAAAAGTTAACTTTGAGGCACAATCAGAAGAAATGATAGTTAAGATTTAAGTACAGTGTCTGTCAAATTGTTTACTGTATTATTCTTCAAAATTCTTAAATTCGGAACTAATCACCTCCCTTACAAATCTCTGATTATATTGCTCTAAAACCATAGCTCTTTAAAATTGCAGTCCAATCTCTATGCTCTATTTTCCGTGAGTGATTCGTAGCTATTTTCATTGAAAACTATGACGCATGTGTCAAAATCATAAATATAAAAGCACGCAATGTCACTACAATGCGTTGAATGCCTGCCTACTGTACAATTGAAATGATAAAGGTATTTGAAAAATCTATTAATTAATTAACATGGACATAAAATTAAATACCTGTGAACTCACGAGATCAATTAAATTTGCCTGAGTCAAGTTGAAAGGAATCATGCGAATGATATTTGCACAGTTTGATACACGTTAAGCGAAAGTGCAAAATTGTGTTCTTTTTCGTAGAGAGAGTATTGAAGCTTATGCACGCGACAATTGATGTTGATAAATATCCTTCTGACCAGGGTTGTCATATAGGTACCTTTGAAAAGGTGCCTCAACGGAGCATGGTAGCTTTTGCCTTTGTCTAGTCAACACCTAGGTATAGGCAAGCCTAGCTAAAGGCAAAAAAGTGAGTCTAGTCAAAGGTACTGCCTAGCCACAGGCACTACCTAGAAATAGGTGTGCCTAGCCAAAGGCAAAAAAATGTGCCTAGTCAAAGGCAATAACTAGCTAAAGGCACTGCCTTTGTAAGATTAAATCTTCTATAGAAATTGCCTTTTACCTTTAGTCTTACTCGTTGAGTTTTTGAACAATAATGCAAAATTTCTTTTGTTTGAACCATTGAAAAACTACAGACCCCCTCCAAATGACTGAAACGCCGAATTTTGATTTATCCAAGGCGACAAAATTTTTGATAACGACAAATTAAATTTTTTAAATTTTCGACGTAGCAAATTATTGGTTTAAAAGAAGATATGATTCACTATTATGCTCAAATAAATTCAAATTAAGGAAAAAAAGGTGTTTTAAATTTAAAAAAAAAAACTCAACGAGTAAGACTAAAGGTAAAAGGCAATTTCTATAGTAGATTTAATCTTACAAAGGCAGTGCCTTTGGCTAGGTATTGCCTTTGGCTAGGTATTGCCTTTGACTAGGCACACTTTTTTGCCTTTGGCTAGGCACACCTATTTCTAGGTAATGCCTTTGGCTAGGTATTGCCTTTGACTAGGCATGTCAAGGCAAAGGCAAAAATTTTTCCCTATACAAAGGTAATGCCTGAGATAGATTTTTGCCTTTGATAGGAATTCGATAGGTGACAACTCTGCTTCTGACTGTAAAACTTGACGGTATCAATTAAATATTTTTTCCATCTCATTGTTTGTTGTGGATACAAGGCTTATCTACTGTTTGAGTTTAATTTACATGAGTTAATGATATTTTACAATAATTATGATGATTCGATATAACGGTTAATTTGCACGCAATCCCATTTATATTCCGTGATATCCAGCTGATCACTCTTTTGACATGGAAATTTAATTTAAATTTCAATGTCTGAAAAAAGTTTTCAGTTTTATTGAATGAATACTCGCAACTGTTGAGTCAAAACTCGTGAGAAGAAACGAGCATAATTAACAAAATAATAATAATAATTGATAATTAAAAGAAATAATTTCAACAAAAGGGAGAAACAAAAATATTTTTATATTTTTATACTCAAACTTGATTAATGAATGCAATAAAAAGCGTATTCAAAAATTATTTTATTTTCATGAAAACTTTCAAATTGAAAGCTTTTAATAAATGAGATAAATTTACCAAGAAAACAGTTTGTAACTACTGACTTAATGTCAATATGGATTTTTAAGTTTACGCAAATTTATTGGATTACTTTTGTAATTGAGATGCTATTTTGTGTGACTAAGTGCGTTTTACAGGAAATTTTGTCTGCCTATTCTATAGAGTTAGTATTTTAATGAAAATTATTCACTCGGTACTGTTGTGAGACAGATAAAAATTAACGAGCACAACGGTTGCGCGCCATATTAATCGCGCGCAACTGTTGTTCGCCATAAAACGCAAACATTTAAAAATTTCAAAAAAACATTGAGTGATTTTCATAGTCACTTTTTCAAAATACTTGACTAGCAACTTGTTTTTTTATATTCACACCGTTTTCACGTGTGAATCTATTGGTTTTGTTCAGATTGAAAAATCAGTTTTTCGCATTTTGTGAGAAAACAAAGCAAAATTGGTTATAAAAGGGCAAGAAGAAAAGTTTGTGCCTAAAA